TGAAGACCAATCGGTTTTGTAAAGGTTTTGTAAGACTCTACTTGTTGACTGTACTCTTATAAGGGTTTTATAATGCTCTTAATAAAGAACGTATATTATAAAATAGGTTTATAAGGCTCTGCGTGTAGACACATTTTTATAGGACTCTTTTTTATCCAGTTTTCTTTTTTGTATTACATGATTAGAACAAATCTTCTACAAATTTACGCTTTTAGATCTCTATAAGTTTTCTTCATTCAGAATCAGCATTGAGAAAATTTATACGCATCTATAAATTTTAATTCTTAGAGAAATTGCGCATTCTCGAAGTAGGGTTTGTCTTCACAAAAATAATAAATACTATTCAGTCATTCATATTTTCCGGGCTCCACCTTTAGCAAACTACACCGACTAGTCCGCGTGGCCATTACAGGAGCTATGGGCACCTGCCCAAAGGATGCCCTTGGTGTCTTTGCAGGTGTTCCTCCTTCGTCTATTCTGTTTGAAAAAGAGGCCTTCTAGAGCGCCCAAGACTGCCCAATATGATCAGCAAGTTGGAGGTTCTAAAGCCATTCCTGGATAATCCCGAGCTATCCTTCTACAAACCCCACAAGGTTAGAACTCGTGAAAGGGGCTGCTGTGAAGTGATTATAACTATGATTGACGAAAGGTCCCAAGCATGGTATACCGACGGATCAAAGATGGACGACAAGAGCACTTGGACAGGCGTATTTGGACCAAAATTCCAGAAAGTCTGCCACTTTACACATACCCAACTATATTCCAGGCGAAAGTCTTGGTAATCGAAGTCTGTGTAGAAGGAAAAATGGGGCCAAATTAAATATTATGTCGGATAGTCAGGCAGGTTAAAGGCCTTAGACGCCTTTAAAATGGCACGCTTGTGGAAAGCTGTAAAACTTTTTTGAACGACTTGGCAGCTCACAATAACTTAACACTGTGGTGGGTTCGGGGACATGAAGGGTTTGAAGGCAACGAAAGCTGACTGTCTCGCAAAGCGTGGAGCCCACTTATCATAAAATGCAGACTGATGCACTTTGGGGTACGATTGTCCTCTTCATCTAAAATTTTAAACATGGCGCCCTCCAAAGGGCCTAACTTCTTAAAGAGAATAAGGTTGGAGTGATTACAATTAGGGTTAAGCACAATAGATCTTCATAGGTCGCAGCGCGTGTATCCCGACGTAATAATAATAATAATATGTATGTGTAAAGACCCAGCAAAAAAATCGGTAATCGCTTTTAGTGGTAACATGTTCTAGAAGGCATAGCATTATAATGCCTTCGAATTTTTTCGCTTCTTTTAGGCATTGCTGGTAATGCAAATAGAATGTCCTACAATATTTTATTTATTTCGGTTCTTTATTTCATTTCGGGGAATGCAAAGTAGAATGTCCTATAATATTTTTTTAAAATTCGCTTCTTTGCTTCACTTCGGGGAATGCAAAGTAGAATGTCCTACAATATTTTATTTGTTTCGCTTCTTTGCTTCATTTAAGTGAATGCAAAGTAGAATGTCTTACACAATTTTTTATTTCGCTTCTTTGCTTCACTTCGAGGAATGCAAAGTAGAATGCTGCATCGTAGTCAGCTGAAAAATAGAATGAATATCCAAAAATTATTTTTCCACCGTTACTTTCTGTGGAAATTTGTCTCGCATAAAAATCATGTTTTGCTTTGTTCAATTTGCAGCGAAGTTGAAGTCAGTCAATGAAGTGAAGTACAAGAGTGGGGAAATACAATTTTAACCTTAATTAAATATGCACGTATGTATATCCCCATTTTTAAGTAAAATCTAAATACCTAAATACATACATATGTATGTATAAAAACTGATTTATAAAAATTTAAATCTTTAAAGACAATCTGTATTTTCTGTTTTCAATTTAATATAAATAAGTATTCACTTATCTAGGCATTCTACATTAGTTTCTCTGCAAGGCATTCCTTGTTCGCTTCTCTGGATTCTTTTAATGCTGCGGGTAAGGGCTTACGGCCAACGACATGCCCATGTTAAAATAATGCCTTCTGAAGCGAAAGGGTAAGCGATTGCCATCGCCTAGCTCGTTTCCACTTTCGTTTCTGTGGTAATCGTGTTGTTTGCTGGGGAGACAAACATCTGTGTAACTCTGTACAGTAAAATGAATTGTTATACGTAGTTAATTTGTTTTTTTTGGAACGAATTTCCATCATCCCTTGTCAAATTTGGTTTGGAGACAAACCGGTTTCGGCGTTGTGCCATCTTCAGTGTCATTTTTCGTTCTGCATAATTTTTGTTGGTTGCTCGTATTTATACTCCTTGTAAACTTCCTCTTTCTTTTGTTAGGTACGTCTTTTTAGTTTTGCAGTGTTTGCGGTGCTCAATACGTAGATTAATTGTTTTGGCTCGTTTTTGATGGCAGGTAGAAGTCCGTGATTTTTACCCTCTTTGTTTTTGCAGTTGGTGTATTCCCTTCCATGTCTGTCCTTAATATTTTGTTGTTGTCATTTTTCACCTCGTACAGTAGTTTTAGAGGTTCAAACAGTACGTCCGATACAGTATTTATTTGCTCATTTATTATTTGTCCTTTGAAGTTCTTCTGTTTATATATTTCCATATTTTCTAATATATTCAATCTTTGTCCTTTATGTTGTACACGGAGAAGTTCTGTTGTTTGTCCAATCTTCATTGGTGTGCATTTATTTTTGATCATGTGATTCGCGAAGTTCGATTCTGTTGCAGCCTCTGGTTTTCGTTTTTTCTTATTATAATCCCTTATGTGTTCGCGATACCTTGTTCTTATATTTCGCCCTGTTTGTCCTATGTAACTGTGTCGGCACTCGCAGGTTAACTTGTAAACACCCTGTTTATCTAGCGGGTCTTCCTCGCTAATTTTCTCTTTCAATATAGTTCCCACTGTATTCCTTGTTTTAAATGATGTCTGAATGTCGTACTACGAAATAATTTGGCAAGTTTGTAAGATGTCTTTCCTGTGTAAGTTAGAACTGCCCATGTTTTTTTTATTGTTTTCCTCTTTGCTAGTCTTTTTCTATTTTGTGTCCTTTCTTAACTTTTCCACCAGGCCTCTCCTATATCCGTTATTTTCCGCAATGGCGTATATTGTATCCAGTTCCTTCTTGTAGTCTTCTTCTGTTAGAGGGATCCTTTCAAGCCTCGTTATTAGTTGTCTAAATGCTGAATTTTTGTGTTGCTGTGGGTGGTTTGAGCTATTGTGTATAATTGTGTCTGTGGCTGTTGGTTTCTGATAAGTAATCTTTCTTTCGTCTTCCATTTCCATGTTGAATTTTATATTCTGGTGTTGTTTGTTGAGATATGATCTCACTCCATAAGCACTTGTACATTGCACATTTGTTTTTGTTTTTCCCTGAAGTATAGGCACATATACAAATTTACTCTTTAAATATAAAAAAGAAATGTATCGCCCTCCTGTATGCCCTGACATATAAACACAATTCATATGAAAGTGCATGAGTTTCATATGGAAGGGCAAAGCAAACGCCCTCGCATATGAAGCTAAGGAACTCCAGTAAAATGTACAAATTTACACAAACAATTATAGAATGAAAAAATAATAAAAAATATGTCAGCACTGAAAAAAATTTGTATTATAAATTGGTTTAATATTCGTATTTACTGAAAGTGAAAACGAAATATTTTGAAAAACAACACATGGCGTTCATTAAAGTCTGGAAGCGCGAGATCTTTTTTGCAAAGCGTACCTAGTGTATGTTGTGCTATGTAATTATTAAACGAATGACGAAATATTACTTACAACGCCATTTTGCAACTTGCCATCAAAACTTTTTGGAAGTTTTCAAAGGGGATATAGAAAATGATCGATTTCCAATCTGAATTCAATGCAGATCCCTGGGAGCATCACACCGCGTAAAATTGACAGGATTGCAGATATTCCTCCAACGTCGGATTGTAGAAAAAATAAATTTCGCGATTTTGATGCAAAATGCCAACAAATGTCTGGCAAACTTCGCGCAAAAAAATATAATAAAATTATAAATTAATCTTGGAGAAACTCTTATCTCCTGTCCACCTTTGATTTAAGGTGCCCTCCTTAAATTTTATTGCATATTGCTTGAAGCAAAAATTACAAGTTTATTTTTATTGTACGATTAGTGAATGAAAATTGTTAGCGATTGGATCTTTACATACATATTTGTGAAAAATACAGTTAAGAAATGATAGCGATCATTGGGATACTACTCGCATATAAAAGTCCCATTTTAAAGCGTTAATAAATGATAGCACCATTGAAGCAATAGTATCCCAATGATCGCTATCATTTCTTAACTGTATTTTTCACAAATATGTATGTAAAGACTCCAATCGCTAACAATTTTCATTCACTAATCGTACAATAAAAATAAACTTGTACTTTTTAGCTTTATTTAAATTACAAAAAAGAAAAATCTCAGTGTATACATACATTTTGTAGATGTATTGTGATTTCACTTCAATATAAAAATTTTGAGCAGCACTGTTTTAAAGGTTGTTCATTTTTTAGTAAAAAACTTTAAGTCAATCGAAGGTACAGACATTTTTTTTCATGAAAGTAAAATTAAATGTTTAGCGCAATTAATGTTTTTTGAATTTTTTTCCTAGGTGTATGAGAAGTTGGTAAAAAAATTCAATTGATTAAAAAAAATCAAAACTTTTATAAAACAAGAATCGAAATTTTACAAACTGACCATTTTATTTTGTTGCCCAATAAGTTCTCTAATTGCTGTCAAAAAATCATAAGATTCGAATGAATGGTTGCTGAAATATTGCAAAAAGTTTAAAAGCCTGCATAAAATTTTGTTTGCGAATAACTCGTAAAAACAAATAAAATTAGCGCAAAATCTTTGGTGTCAATATTGTTAACTTGTTAACTTTCAATATCGGTGACTGAAATATAAAAAATTTAAAGTCCACTTTGGGTGGCCCACTTGAGAAAACTTGAATCCAATAGAAGCGAAAGCTGTAGGTAGACGGGTCTATAGTCTTACCAGCAACAATCCATAGCACAATACAATTTCCAGCGATTGCCACAAACAGCATGACCCCGAAAATAATGGCCCAAATTGTTTTTTGTTCCCATGGCAATTCATACGGTCGCGTCGGTGACGGAAATAAACATTCGGTTAAGAAGTCCCTGGGGAAGAAAGTCAATGAGATATATTTCAATACTTTTATAAAACTTGCTCTATTTAATGTTTCATATAAATACATACATACATATCGCACGCGTTCTTCAAAAGTGTATAAACTCAAAATTTCTCGTCTGCCAAAAGTGCAAACAAAATTTCTAGGCTCAGGAAGGCTTTTTGCAGAAATGACAACATCGTATTGCACCAGTTTTTTATGGAAGAACATTTTTAGAGAATAATATCGAAAATCACAAATTTTGGGTAACCCAATTTTGAAGAATGTGTGCGATAGTACAGTAGGCATAAGGCTTTTTTAAAATTATACATACTCATTATATACTAATTAGCAGAGGATGAGGAGTGATGAAAAACCAACAAAAATATTGTTTCTGTCAAAATTTGTTGTCCGAAGCCGAACATAAAATACCCGGCGGAGTTATTAAATTTAGTTCTTCACCTTTCCGAAAAACAGGGGCGGGTTTTCCCCTATTTCAAACGATTTCAATAATACGTTCTGTTATACTACTGAGATAAACTTATTTAGTCATAAGTGGGCAGTGTCCCGCACATTTTCCAAAATTGCGTAATGATCTTATCTCTTTTTAAGAGATTGGGTGCATTCCAAAACGCCAAAATACAAAGCATGGCTGATTTCCAAAACGTACCAACACAATGTTTGGATCATATATGTAATACTTCTATATTGGCAGTAAGCTAACTTCTCAATGGGTAGGCATTCCGAAATCAAAGCGAGACAGTCTAGTACTTCCCTGCAGAAAAAAATTATCAATTGATAAAAAATAACCTACTTGTAGTTAGCTTTTATGCGGGATTTCTATAAAATATATAACTTGTGGTTAGCTAAAAAAGCTAACTTGAATCAAGTGGACAAGTAATGCAGGAGTAAAGCTCGAGATTGTTTTCTTTGAACGCGTTTCTATTTAAATATCCTGCACTTCGCAAATACTTTTTCGAATTGAGTACAAATAAAAGGGAAGTCGAAATTTCATATTATCATTTTGAAGTTATGTCTGACGGAGTTCGAATATGGGACTACCTACAGGAGAATATGTAAAGAAATGTGAAATGTAATCTTACTAATATTATAAATGTGAAAGTTTGTATGTTTGGATGTTTGGGAAATCATCACGCGGAAACGACTGAACGGATTTGCATGAAATTTTGTACGCGGATAGCTTATGGGCCTGATTGGTTAATAGGCTATTTTTTTAGAGTTGCCACCTATTAAAAAAGTTTAATTTATTTAATATGCGGGAACGACTGAATAGATTTACATGAAAATTTGCACACAGATAGCTTATGATCTACAGTGGAAAATAGGCTACTTTTCTTAAGAGTTGCCACCTGTTAAAAAAGTTTCATTAAATTAATACGCGGAAGCGACTGAATGGATTTGCATGAAATTTCGCAAGCAGATAGCTTATGACCTACAGTAAAAAGTAGGCAAATTTTTTGGAAGAATTGCCACCATTAATACGCGGTCACGACTAAACGGATTTGCATGAAATTTTGCACATAAATATATTATGACCTAGGTTAGAAAGTAGTCTACTTTTTTTAAGAGTTGCCACCTGTTAGAAATGTTTAATTTAATTAATACGCGGAAACGAGTGAACTGATTTGCATGGAAGTTTTCACACAGATAGCTTATGAGCTAGGTTGAAAAATAGGCTACTCTTTTTAAGAGTTACCACCTGCTAAAAAAGTTTAATTAAATTAATACGCGGAAAAGTCTGAACGGATTTGCATGAAATTTTGCAAGCAGATAGCTTATGACCTACAGTGGAAAATAGGCTAATTTTTTGGAAGAGTTGTCACCTGTTAAAAAAGTTTTAATTAAATTAATACGCGGAA